AGATAATTATTGTTACCCAACCAACACCCAAGCCGTGAGCCGTGCAACTGATTGCGAAGCCGACGGAGAGAGCCGTCAATGTCACCTCTGGCATGTTGTGTCACTCCTGCTCATTTCCATCTCTGCACACAGATGACAGACGAGGCCCTGACAGGTGTCACACCCACCCCCCTGACCCCCGCTGTGTGGGACATGCACACTTTTATATACCATGACTATAACTAGAAGGAGAGGTAGGTGTGTCTGTTTCTGTGTGTGCTAGAAGGAGAAATAGAAAATGACTGGAGAGAGGAAAATGGAGAAAAGAGACACATGGGTGACGATAGATGTAGGCAGCAAACACTATGTAATGATCCTCTTAAAATATCGAGCAGACAAAGAAATTGAAGGATAATAAAGTCTAGATAAGGCACATTGGGAGAAAACTGCAGACTTTTTCCAAACAAAAAGGTTAGAGATCCAGGTAGCCAGCATTTCTCCATGGACATGTGACATGTGTCATCTTTCACAAAGCCCTTTTGTGGGGCAGATCTTGGGACACGTCACAGCACAATAGATGCACTTCAGGCCCAAGTTAGCAGACGCTCAAAGTATGAAGTACAGAGTACATGAATCATTTTACCTTCTTGGCCTAAACAAACCATATTGCTATTCAATTATTTTATTTTTCATGTAGAATTATGAAACATCACAGAGCTCAGTCATTTGAATATACCTGTATGTATATACGGTGTAATATGTTTGTATCTGAACATTCAACTATTTAATTTACCTGTAATTTATTTGCAGCAGTCAAATGAAAATATGTGTCAATTTACCATGCACCATGGCCAAAGAAATTAACAATGATTTTACACAGAGGACAGCTTAAGCTAATGACTTGGTGTCAGCATGAAGATAGACTTTGCAGATAATGGGTACTTCCAATAAGAGTGCTTTTCACTGAGGGGGTATCACCTATGGTAAGAGTGTGTGAGTGCTTCTCACATACAGTATAGGTCCATGGCATTGGACCATGGACACAGAGGTAGTGCACTATTAGCGCACATTACTGGAAATGAATTAGCATGTCATTTTAGGATTTTATTAAATGATATTTTTGGAGGTTTAAAAGTTGTTGTAATTGTGATTGAATGTGGTGAGCGGCAGGATTATGATGCATTTATGCTAATAAAATTTAAATCTAAAATGGTTTGAGTGGTATTTGTACCATCTTAGTGTTGGTAACTAATATTAAAAGTATATTAAATAATATTAAATAATATCAGTAAATGACTATTGCCATTATTGGGAGTCATATGGTGTCTATTGCAACCCTATCGACAGTCTAGCTCCACCAATAGAGGTGTCATTGTTCCTCAACTCTATGGATTTCAACTAGGAGCTCAGGCAAAATGGAGCTAGACCCCCCATATTTCATTTCTCCCTCGCTGATAGCATTTATCAGCAGTGTCCTGATAAAAACAAAATATGCAACTTAAGCCCGAGCAGGGCTAAGCCGCCGAGGTGGACAGGATTACCTGGAGGCTAGCCGGGACAGGCATCAGATTGTACCGTCATAAAGGGCCATTAGACTCTTGGCAAACTGTACCTCAAGCCCAAGATGACAGAGCTTTTCAAGACGAACAGGGGGGAAAATATGAAACTTAAATTCGTCATGACAGACATCTCAGTGAATGAGACCCGCAGAAAAATGGCTCTGTAGAGAAAAACAACATAAAAAAGATACTTTATTTTTATGTGCATTTGACACCTATGGCAATTTAATTGAATGTATTACCAAGTTTGAAATAATCAATACCCACTGTTCTATACTCAATCTAAGTATTTATATGAGAAGAGAGACTGGGTTTCCACACAACACACAATGGAGTAGACTTACTGACTGGCTGGGATTAAATTTAATACAGGATCTTGACAGACATATCCTGAATGCATATCACTCTCTCTGCAGATTTCCTAGAAGCAAAGCTTACATGTTTTTTCATGGATTTGCCTCATTAATTGGCTAGTTAAGTCCCCCTAATCCACGATAATCACTTTCTTGTATGTTTTAGGGCATTTCTTTAAGCTCAAGTATCCCATTACTTTCTTGTTTCAATACTTCACATCTTTCACAAGTAAATAAAGCTCAAACACAACGAAACTTTGAAAGTCGTGAACACGCTCAGTTTTGAGTGGCACCATAGGAAGCCTAGATTTCGAGGCAGAGAAATTGGCAATGCAAAGTGTAATTGTTTTGAGGGGGTGTCTAGACAAAGCGTCCGCAGGTACAGCAAGTATACGGCTAGACGACTCAGCAGACAGCCGTCTGTCTTCCTATGCGCTGTCACTTTCTCTGACATGTGGAAGAACAGGTCTTGTCTGTTATCTCTGGGAGGTGATCTGGATTATTTGGTGACTCGCACTTCTCTCGTCTCTCTCAAAAGTCCACCCATTTATCCATCCACCTCTCAGTGTGCACCGCCTCAAGGCCATATCAGTCAGGCAGTAGTGGCGGGGGTGATGGGGGGGCAGACTGTCAGACTGGCCAGGCAGGCTTCAGCTGGAGTCTTCCTCTGTCTGCCCTGTCTGTCTCTTTCAGTGTACTTATAGCGGCTGTCGACCTGTCCTTTCCCAGAGGGCTTTGTGAAAGGACAGAAATGTGATGCTGCTTCTCAGACACAAGTTGCAGTGGAGTCTGTCTGCGATGGCCATGTTGTATCTCCCTTCTATGCCCCCCCTCCCCTTCCTATTTTTCCTGAACAGAGAGACTCCAGGCGCCAGGCGCCGTGTAACTGCAGTCTCAGGTATGCTGGACGGACGTTGCAGCCACTTCCCAGGGCTTCACCTGCACCTGAGACTGAGTGACGCGGGCACCAGAGTCAGCTAGAGAGGGCAGCTCAAAGCAAGACAGGCTGCCATTCATAAATCAAATTCTCTAACTAAAGATGTAAATTGAACTGCGGTTGTCACTTTATAGCTTATGGCCTTAGTAACTTTGATTGCACCCATCATTTCAATCCTATAGTCTCTTTAAAAAGGGTGACAAGAACTTATTCTGTTTTCAAAAATATTGTTAATCAGGCTCTGAGAGCATCTAATCTAGCATAGCTATCGTATAATGTGTACTCTATATATTGCAGTTATTTCCATAATCAATTAATCTTTTTTCAAGCAAAAATGTAAAAAAATGTGTTTATTTCAGCTTCTCAGTTGTAATGATTTGCTGTTTTTCTTTGTCTAATTTGACAGTAAACAGAATATATTTAGGTTTTGGACTGTTGGTAGGACAACTCAAGACATTGAAAGATTTGAAATTTGGTCAAACAATTCTTCAATTAATTGAGAAAGTTATCTGCAGTTGCAGTCTGAAAAATATCATTAAGCATGTAGCACTTTTATTCTTCATTCTTTACTTCAAATGAAAAAGTATTTAGAAATGTTACTAAATTCATAGTAGATGTTTTATGATCTGTTATGCCTAAATCCTGTATTTTTACGCATGCATTTCTATGTCTAACTATAATGAAGCTATTTAAAGACAATGGCATTTACTTCCTGCACTTTCTCTTCATGTCTTGTTCCTCTTTCCTCTAAATGTTGTGGCATTGTCATGTGTAAAGGCTTAGGATGATTACAAAATAATTTGAAAATAGAATAAGTACGTAGAGCCTAAGTTGAGGTTTGCTCCATCTGTCAACATATGACAGCTGCAGAGCAATTTTCATTGTGGTGTGAGTGGTTTTGTGGGAAATGTGCGCTCTCATTTATCTAAAATACATCCTAAGCTGTGGCTGCCGCTTCATTATTTGAGCAGGCCACATGGGTTACAATGTGCATTTGTTCCTAAATGAAAAATCTTTACTGAAATTTGACTGACTTGTGTGCATATGTTTTGAGGACTGCACAAGGCTTTTGTGGTGGTGTGGGAGAGAAAAAGTGTGTCTGCGAGAGAGTGAAACAGCCTACAGGGAGAAATTTAGAGGGGCAGAGAGAAATAGTTTTCTGTTTTCCCAAAAAAGATTTGAAGCTTTGCTTTGCGCCACCCTTTCAATGTCAAACAATTGTTATTGAAATCCATCCATGCTGAAGACAAGGAAACAAGCAAACAGATGCTTTACAGTACAGCCTTAACTATACCTACAATTTACTATACCGATGAAGCTCTGCATGCTTTTTAAAATGTCTTTATCAATGAGGTACAACAACACTCATGAAAATACACAAATGTTGTACAGGCCAGGGGATATTTAAATTCTCATGACACCACAACCACATGGACCTGTGTAGCACATGCTTAGTCTTACATCTTGTCATCAAATCTTTTATTGCCACCTATACAGTATGACAAAGCCAGTAAAGACATCAGTTAGCTGACTGGACATCCGGAATTACTTTAAGATCAGAACAGGTAAGACGTTCACAAACTTTTCAATGCCAAGGCCCCCAAAATAGCTTTAGCTTACGGCCGGGGCTCCTCTTTTGAACGTTATATGGCAAATTAAAAAAAAGATAATAAAATCAAATAAAACTTCCGCATAGATTTCCTCAACAATAATAAAAGTAATGTTAATAAATCGTTTTTTTAAATCTTCCCTGAAATTCGCTGAAGACCCCCTTGGGCCCCCTGGCTTAAAGAAACTCACTAGTTTATACACTATAATGCCCTCCACCATTTGATCAAGCTTTTGATTAGTTACTGTATTTTATAATAAAATAATAAAATGAAAATAATATTAATAATATACTATTAATAATAGAGAAACTAAGCATAAACATTTAACTACTATGTACAATATAAATATACATATTTATCGAAGAATATATATGAACATAAAGAACAACAACAATGACAATGGACAATGGATTTGGGAATTTAGTGCAATATTAATGTAAACCACATTGAGTTTAAATCAAATGAGCTACATACAAAAACAAATGCCTCGCTGAATGCTGCGCTTTTCTGCGCAGTCAACGCAACCTAGAGCCGCTCGAACATCCTCAGCGTCCTGCGATAGACAGCCATTCATTAACAAACAGCAACACAGCGCCATCACAGCTAACATGTCAGACAAGAAACAGACCGTGGACCTGGGCTTACTGGAGGAGGATGATGAGTTTGAAGAATTCCCAGCCGAGGGTAAATACTACAGATAATGTCTGAAGTCACACTACGGTTGTTTACTTTTCTTAGTGACTGTAGGTAGCTAGTTTTGTCGGTGCTGGGCCCTGCAACAGTGACTCAGCCTAGCCATGCTAGCTGTAGCGTTAGCTAGCAGTTAACTCATTTGTTGCTAACACGACACACAGCCAGGTGATTTAACGTTAACTAACGGAACCGAATCAGTCGACTTGTGGAGCTCGTTGTCTTCTGATTTCATAGACTGTGATTTTATTACTTCACAGTTGACGTATTTGTTATTTTGCTAGCGTGTATGCTTTAGCTCACTCGCTAACGTTAAAGCTAGCCGACAAGCTAACTACAGTGCTAGCCTTTCAGGTAGACAGTAGCGTTAAGCTGTTGTTTTCTAATCTTGGTGATATCTGTATGATTCGTAGACTGGACGGGGTTGGATGAAGATGAAGACGCTCATGTTTGGGAAGACAACTGGGATGATGACAACGTAGAGGATGATTTTTCCAATCAACTGAGGTAATCAATAAAATACACAATGTTGAGCTGCAGCCCCTCAGAGGCTGTCAGTGTATCTAGTACATCCTGGGCACAGATGGATTGTTTTCATTAAATTAGCTTTACTTTATAGTTGATGTCTTAGAGGCCAAATCTTCGTACATTATTAACTTGCACCACAGTGATGGAATGACAGGATACTGGTCCTTGAAAAGATTTCCAAACATCATTGTATGATTAGCTTCGGTGTCATGTGTTAACTTATTTTTTATTGACTTATAAGTACTTTCTAATTACATCTGTAAAACCAAGGGGAAATGTTTGCTGTCTATCTTACTTAAATATCTTATTGAGAAAGTAAACAAAATATGCCCACATATACTGTTGCAGTTCCAATGCAAACAAATGCTACTGATTACATTGTTTTAAACAGAAGTAGACATTGTGACAGGACCAGTTCAAAGTGATTTCTGGGACTGATTTAACATCAGGTCTGTGTGTTTCAAAATTGTTGTTTTACAGCATTAAAACCAGAGTTTTGAACATGGCTCTTACATTGTAATATGACATAGTTTTAAACAAATATAAAATTGCCTTTGAAGTTCTTGCTATACACTCCAGATGACAAAGCAATGAAATCCAGTGCAGAGATTATGGTCTCTTTAAAGATGGAGGGTTTTCTCCAATCTACAGTTTGAATTGTCTTGGTTTCTTGCTTTGTAGCCGTGCTGCAGCTTCTCTTTAATAGCTTAGGTTGGGTATTAAATAGTTTGCTGTTGCATGTTTCACTTGTATCTGACATTATGCCATTAACACCTTGCATTACACTTCAAAGTTACCATAAGATCCGTCATACTTACATTCACACTTATTGGATAATCAATAACAGATGATAAATAAGTGGCTGGTCTGTTTTTATTCGAGTACGCTTTAGACCGTAATATGCTATTGTTTTATTTCGACCAATTATGATAGCCATGCTATTAAGTTGTTTCTTAAAGATATCATTATTGTTAAAGGGCACAGCTGCCACATACATTTTTTTTATATACGTGTAATCATCAAATCCATAGCGGCACACATTATGCAATATTTTATGTATTTTTCACTCCCATCTCTTAATGGTTCTCGCAATCAATAGCAGAGGGTACTTACGCCTCTACCTCCCACCTGTAATCATCTCCACTGACTTGATCTTTCTATTTTCCTTTCCCTCCCTGCAGAGCTGAGCTGGAGAAACACGGCTACAAGATGGAGACGTCTTAGCGGCTAACGAGGCCATTCAAGATTCGATGACATTGGTTATGGACATTTATGTTTGAACATTACTGGTTGATCACACGCCACCGGAAATCATTTGAGGATGTTATTTTGTTTCTTTTTTTTTTGTAAGAAATATTGATGGAAGTAAATTGTTTGGAGAAAAAAAACTGTTTCTTTGAGTGTTTTTACTTACAGATTATACAGCAAATATTTAGGTGACATTTATAGGTACTTCTTTTGCTGTTTATGTATTAGATGTGAGTTTATTTTACTCAATATTTAATCTGATTGAAAAATGGATTGCATTTCTTTAGTAATCACAGGAACATTGCTGAAATTATACAAGTTATATTGGTAAATTCAAACTTCATGCCGCATAGTCAATGGCTGTATTAACCTGATGCCCAGATGTTCATTATCAGAAATCTAGCACGCTTCTTTTCATCTCGTCCTTGGACGACACTTATTCTTTGCATAAACTAAATCCATCTTTGCAGTTATTTGTTTTTGTTTGGAAGATGACACAAGGTTTGGCTAAAACATCTACAAATTACAGTCTTTGTAAGAGCTGTTGATCGCCGCCGAAGCACACCTGGCAAGTCAACACAATCTACCTGTAATGGATGGCTTGTTATTGCCCTCTGACACATCGTACATTTATTTTGGTCTACATGAATTTTGCATGATATTGTTCAAGTTCAAGTGCGCTCAACATCATTTATCCAAGATATTCGTGATCATTTTGAAGCAACCATACTTTTATTTAAGGCTCTGTTTATTGAAACTGTCAAAGTGATGCTTGCATGATAGAGGAAGAGTGGGGAAAAAAGTGTACACAGGGAAGTGGAGATGTACATAAGAAGTGTGCAGTGGAAGTACACACAATACTAACAAGTGTGTGTGTTTGTGGTGCATGCTGCACACATACAGAGGCAGTTCCTCTGCACTGTGCTGTATAACAGCCCCCTTCCCTCTCAGCCCCACAGCGCTGGGCCGAGTCCCTGAAGGAGAGATTATCCACTGCCGTGTTTGTCAGAGGTAGGGAGGGGGTCTCGGCATGGGGCTTCCCAGCTTGCCTTGCCTGGGCCTGCCCCTACTGCCAGCCAGGCCCTTCTCTTCCGCTTGGCACAGCAGGGACTCTCGTACTGAACCAGAGGCCAATTTATCCCCGCCACACTCCCCCGGCAAAATGATTTCTCTCAGTGTTTTGTCGACTCTCAGTCCCAGGGTCCTAATGAGGTGAAATAGATGCCAGTAAGACCAAGGCTGCAAGAGCAGCTTTCATCCTTAAACAACATTCATCCTCTGCCTCTAGAAGTAGAAAGTAACCTACAAATATTTACCCAAATACTGTATTTACGTATAGTTTTTGTACTTGTTTGTGATGAAAATGTAGTTTTCTAATCCATTATATCTACAGTGGGTACGGAAAGTATTCAGACCCCTTTACATTTTTCACTCTTTGTTTCATTGCAGCCATTTGCTAAAATCAAAAAAGTTCATTTTATTTCTCATTAATGTACACTCAGCACCCCATCTTGACAGAAAAAAACAAATGTAGAAATTTTTGCAAATTTATTAAAACAGAAAAACTGAAATATCACATAGTCATAAGTATTCAGACCCTTTGCTGTGACACTCATATTTAACTCGCATGCTGTCCATTTCTTCTGATCCTTCTTGAGATGGTTCTACTCCTTCATTAGAGTCCAGCTGTGTTTAATTAAACTGATTGGACTTGATTAGGAAAGGCACACACCTGTCTATATAAGACCTTACAGCTCACAGTGCATGTCAGAGCAAATGAGAATCACAAACCACTTTATGGCAGAGTGGCCCGATGGAAGCCTCTCCTCAGTGCAAGACATATGAAAGCCCGCATAGAGTTTGCCAAAAAACACATGAAGGACTCCCAGACTATGAGAAATAAGATTCTCTGGTCTGATGAGTCCAAGATTGAACTTTTTGGTGTTAATTCTAAGCGGTATGTGTGGAGAAAACCAAACACTGCTCATCACCTGCCCAATACCATCCCAACAGTGAAACATGGTGGTGGCAGCATCATGCTATGGGGGTGTTTTTCAGCTGCAGGGACAGGACGACTGGTTGCAATTGAAGGAAAGATTGCGGCCAAGTACAGAGACATCCTGGAAGAAAACCTCTTCCAGAGTGCTCTGGACCTCAGACTGGGCCGAAGGTTCACCTTCCAACAAGACAATGACCCTAAGCACACAGCTAAAATAACAAAGGAGTGGCTTCGGAACAACTCTGTGACCATTCTTGACTGGCCCAGCCGGAACCCTGACCTAAACCCAATTGAGCATCTCTGGAGAGACCTGAAAATGGCTGTCCACCAACGTTCACCATCCAACCTGACGGAACTGGAGAGGATCTGCAAGGAAGAATGGCAGAGGATCCCCAAACCCAGGTGTGAAAAACTTGTTGCATCATTCCCAAGAAGACTCATGGCTAGCTCAAAATGGTGCTTCTACTCAATACTGAGCAAAGGGTCTGAATACTTATGACCATGTGATATTTCAGTTTTTCTTTTTTAATAAATTTGCAAAAATTTCTACATTTCTGTTTTTTTCTGTCAAGATGGGTGCTGAGTGTACATTAATGAGAAATAAAATGAACTTTTTTGATTTTAGCAAATGGCTGCAATGAAACAAAGAGTGAAAAATTGAAAGGGGTCTGAATGCTTTCCGTACCCACTGTAGTTCACGTAGCTACTAGTTACTTTGAATAATGCTTTTTTTCCTAAATGTTATGCAGTGTGTGACAGGATTGTGTTGACATATTATTGTTCATACACTGCTTAGAAAACCCCAATCTGATCAATAAATATCATGCCATACAGTGAGAGACTTTAAACTTGTTACCAAAACAATCATCTTGTCCCGAGGATTTTCCAAAACTTGAGCGTTTGTATTTTAAGACATGAAAGATGTAGACAAGTCACTTCAGGAGAAACTTGATTTAGCAAAATACCTGAAACAATAATATAATTAATGAATGTATTCCGTTTGTAATGATTGTTTTATCATCAACTGATTCCATAAGAAAAGTCTAGCTGTCGTCATTGTCCAGTATACATTATTGTGAAATAAGCCAAGCTCTGATCCTCTCACGGTGCTGAATTATCAACAGGATATGCTGTTTATCATTTGTTTATATTTGGAACGAGTCATTCTGCACTCCAAAGTGTTATACTCAGATTTTGGCATTAAAGGCTGGAAAAGGTGGAAGTGGAAATCCGTTAGTTCAGGTCAAGTGTTTAAATGTTGGCCAATGAAAGCACAACGACAAGCATTTGACAGTCTCTCATTCTCTTTTGGGAAAATGCAAACTCCCTGTTTACTAGTTATTATCCCAATCAGCTGCATGTCACAGCCCAACAGCTCCCCTGGGCCCATATTAGGATTGAAAGACAATGATCCAGCTGCTACTGATATACCTGTTGATAAAGAAGATAAACATATTGTATGCTGCGAAAAATAAAGAAAGGTCAGATATTCATCAAGTGAACTCAAAGAGCTGTGACTCATACATGGGGATACTCAGATCTGTTTATGCCCTTGAAACTAAGGGCCCTGGGCCAGATGATTATTCTAAGGGTTGGGAAGTCGGTGAAGTGAGAAAATCGGTAAGTGAGAGTAACAGAGGAGGACCTGTGACCATTTTGTTTGTGCTGAAAGCATGAGATTGGTCCCTTGTGTTTGATGCCATGAGGGCCTCAATGGGCCCTCAATATTCAACCTTGCACAGACTGCCAGGCTTTTCATTGTCTATGCATTAGTTCTTCTTTGATCCTATTTCATCGAGACTTTAATTTGTGCAAGGATTTTTGTTGTTCCTTTGTGACCCACATGATTCCCCGTGACATGTACGAGAAGGCTCATTGTGGCTGATATTGACTGACTTCCAGAGGCCTGAATAATGGGTGAATACCTTGACCTTATTGAAAGGTTTAATTTTAAATCTCTTATACAATGGATAACTTTTTAAAAGGGCTATCCTTGTGTTACTGGTGGCAATGTTCAGTCTTCATACAGAAATCCACGCCATGTAAAACACTACCAACAAATGACATTCTGGATCAGTCTGTATGGGAACTACTGCTGCTGCAAATTCTGTAAACTGATTCTTGCCTTTATGAAAGACTAGATTCTTCAAAAAGCATTTTCTTATTTGCAAATCATTTTCCCTTGGCCCACGCAGTTCCGAGACCACATGACTCCATGCGAGAGAGCAGCCAATGGAACTGTGGCGTAGACTATTTCATAACACTTCATGTTGGGAGATGGCAGATCCATTGTTCTCAAGGCCCACGAGCCTGTGGGCGAGAGTCCCTGCTGTGTCTACACCGAGGAAGCACACCAGCCTCCCAGGCTATATTTTCCTCTCTTTCCTGGAGACACTGGAAGCTACTGTGACCATTCGAACTCTCTACCCACTGCTGCAGGCCCTGCTCTCTCCACTTCTTCCCTCTCCAATCCCTTCACCACTGAGCCAGGGAGAAGACGACGCTGTCTCTACACAGCTAGGAAGCATGCAGCTGCTACTATAATAGCCCTAATTGCACGTTTCTTTTGTTGGGCTGAAATTAGCGGCGGGGCTACAATACTAGCCTAAAACCCCCAAAAACGTCCAAGTAAAGATGGAGGAGAGAGAGTAAAAAAAAAAAAAAAAAAAAAGACACTCGGTTCACCAGTGAGACTGCCAACCCACTGCCGAATGGCCCACACCTGCACGCTCACACCCCCGCTAACGTAAACACAGATAATAAGGTATAATTACTTTGGAAAATAATAACGAGGAGCAACCCTTCAGACCCCCCTACTCCCGTTGACAAAGAACTGCCTGTTTATTGTGGGGGGTGAAACAGCCCCAAAGGACGATGGCGAATACCCTATCAAAAGACCTGAGGGTCCTACTGAGGGTCCCTTATAGGACAGCCATCAGTGTCAAGGAGGGCTGGGGCTTTTAAGTCGCTTCTATCCTAACTGCCTCAATTAACCAGTATGGATTGACCACAGGCTACTTTTTCTGCTCCATTCATTCTCATCAAAATGATCCTGTGTTGTCTTGAATGGTTCTCCCCTTTTCTATGGGATCAGAAGAAACCCAGAATATGTATGTCTGATAACATACCAATAATGCCATGTGGTGTCTGTGATCGTGGATATTCTCCTAAAATAGATACATTAAAATCCAGACAACATGCCTTTCTGAAGTGCTGGGGTTACATGTAGTATTATAGAGTGTTATTGATGTTGCTGTAGGAACTCCCGCATCCTCGCTATCTTTAAGAACTACAATGGAAATAAGTCTTTAAGTTTTGTGGTATGCAGAAGTTCAATATTTTGGGAATGAAGCTTACTCACTTTCTGGTGGAGAGTTGCATAAAAATAGTTTCACTTTCACATAGTTCCGTTAAATATGAAGCTACAGCCAGCAGATGCGTAGCTTAGCTAAGCATAAAGACTGGAAACAGCCTGGCTAAAGCTCACCTTTTGAAAAATATAATCTCAAAATGTTTTTTGGGACGTTGTCAGTCACACTTTATCTTGGCTCTGAGCAGTTCCCAGACAACCAGCAATCTTCTCATTTAACTCTCCCCCAGAAAGCAAATATGCAAAATTCCCAGAGTGACAACACTTTTTTTAATTACCTTCCTCTCTACCTAAGCTATCTAAACTAATTTATTAATTCCATACTTAAGTCACGAATAAAAAAAAAAAACACAATTTGAAACAACTATTATGTTGATCTTTAGAAAACTAAAGAAGTCTTAATTTGGTCTTCAGTGAGCAAGAGCACTATACCTTAACCTAAAATGTCGTACTTGTGGTTTAGGGGAGCATAAATATATAAAATGGAAATAATTGACTTCACCTGGTTATATGTAAGTAGCAGATAGCTGCAATATCTGGGTTAGACATGTCTAACATATATCAACCAGACATAGTCATTAGACATCTCCGTTCCTAACGCCAAGTTCTTCTTAACTTTTACAGAGGAGCAATAGAAGCATCGTGAGTGGAAACATTTCAAACTGGCTTGGGATGTGCACGTCCCAGGAAAGGAGGGCTCTACATAGGGTGTTTGACACCGCCGAGGACATCTACAGAGCATGAGTAGTATTGGTGACAAGAGGTGCCTGCGCAGAGCCCAAAGGATATTAAAAAACAACATCCACCCCAGCCACAGCCTGTTCATCCTGCTGCCGTCAAGAGGTACCACTAAACTACAGAGCAGCTTCTTTACTCAGACTGAGACTCACCAACTCATTCTTAACACGACAACATAAAGATAGTTTTGCTGTTTTGTTTTTGTTATGTAGCATAATGTGACTTCAACTGCATTT